CTACACCGTTATCGGGGGCTGCTCGCCGCTCTGCTGCGCTCTGCTGCGGAGTGGTGCAGGTAGACGACGGTAGGCATGCGCCTCGACATTGTCCGTCCGGTCAGTGGAGCAGCACAGCAGCGCGTCCAAAGTTTTCTGGACATAAAAGGAGCCTTTGCCCCGCCGTCCGGCAAGCCGTCCCCGCAGTGTGTCCCCGCCGCGTGTGTGCAAACAATGCAGCGCTGCGACAAGCGCTGCAGATTAGTCTCGCCCCGGGAATGTTTTGGTTTTGTTTCGCCGTGCCGAAAATAAAATGCAGATCGCTCGCTGCTCTCTTTTTGGCGGTGCCTTTATGACGAAGTGAAGCATTTTGCGCGCGTCCCGTTAGTCCTGCCCGTCTCTCTCTCTCTCTCTCTCTGCGGGACGCCCCTGTGAGTGCGAGAGAGAGAGAGAGAGAGAGAGAGAGAGAGAGAGAGAGAGAGAGAGAGAGAGAGGGACACATTCAAGGGGTACCCAACTCAAGATAATCAGTGAAATAATCAACATCATCCAATGAATCATACTTTCGGGGATTCAATCACTTTTGACCATTTTTGCGAGACCACTGCTCCCAAACTATCAGCGGTCAAAGCCTTCCCGAGGCGGGGCATAAAAGAGTAGGGTCTTCAGAACAGTAAGGCGTCGAGGGAGGCCTTTGACCGCAACTAAATTGGATGCAGTGACCGCTCAAAGTCAGCAAAAACGGTGATTTTCTGAAATTCATTCACTTTTTGACCATTTTGCGAGACCACTGCTCCCAAACTATCAGCGGTCAAAGCCTTCACGAGGCGGGGCATAAAAGAGTAGGGTCTTCAGAACAGTAAGGCGTCGAGGGAGGCCTTTGACCGCAACTAAATTGGATGCAGTGACCGCTCAAAGTCAGCAAAAACGGTGATTTTCTGAAATTCATTCACTTTTTGACCATTTTGCGAGACCACTGCTCCCAAACTATCAGCGGTCAAAGCCTTCCCGAGGCGGGGCGTGAAAGAGTAGGGTCCTTAGAACAGTAAGGCGTCGAGGAAGGCCTATGACCGCAACTAAATTTGACGCAGTGGCTGCCCAAAGTCACCAATATAGAATTTCCGACACTTTAACAGCTTTCCGAGGTCGGCGCTCAAATAATCCCCAATATTTCCCAATAATCAACATAATAACCTCCTATAATCAGTGATAAATAATAAAATAATCAAAAGAAATCACATGTTATCATACTCTAAATATAATCAGTGTACATGAAAATCTTGAGTTGGTTGGACACAGTGGGCGACGATCGTCTTCTGCGTCGTTGACGGGGATTTTCGCCTCGACGTCCCACGCGCCGTGTGTCCAGCGTTCGGTCTGGACGCCAGGGGGCTCAGGGCTCAGGGGGGCAAAGCGGATTGCCGCGGGGAGAGAAAGAAAGAGAGGGGGCACGACGACATCTATCGCGCTGTTTCCAGCGCCCAGGGTGCAGGCACGGAGTGCACTGCTTCTTTTTCGTGTCAAAGGAGAAGCTTTCTGTCGTAAATCATCCAACTAAAACAGCAGCAGCAACAACAGGAGCAACAACAACAACAGGGCTGGCACCGATGTGCACCAGGGACGGACGGATTGTGCTATCAACAGCCCCCTTGTTGCCTCACTGTGCGATGAAGGGTTGCTGTGACGCCTTGTCCGCGTTTCCAGCTCGAGTGATTTTTATTCGTTATTTGTCTTCTCCGTGATTTATTATTTTTGTTTCAGCCACGCCTGATGCTACGTTCCTGCTGTCATTTTACTTGAAAATTTTGCATTAAATTTACAGAAATTGTTTAAGCTTCATTTTATGTGTGTTCATTTTATTTATTTTTGCTTACAGGTCTGCGTATATTTGCTTTTGTTTTGATTATCCCTGCACAAATCACAGGACTACACTGGACGGGCGTTTGGACTGGGGCAGGCCCGGGGCTCGGTCGCTCGGTCCGCGAGTCGCGAATCGGGATTGTCGCTCCGCCCCGCTCCGCCTCCACTGTTTGCGTTTGCGCGGTTGGCATGGCAGCCAATGGCAGCCGATGGCTTGGCTCGCTTGGCTTTGCATGCCGGAGAAAGGCTGCGATCCGGCAACGCCGTGGCAACGCGAGGCAACGCGGTGTAACGCGGAGCATAACGCGACGCAACGTTACGGCACCGGCCGGCCGCCCCGGCCAGCCTTGCTGCCTCGGCACCACGGCCAGCACGGACGGACAGACACGCCGGCCGGACGGGCGAACGGACAGACGGCCCGGTCGACAGATAGACAGACAGGCGACCATTCGTTGGGATTGAATAGTGTCTAAGTGGGTCAGTAGGACGGGGCGCCCTGCCGCCGCTCCCCGCCCCGCGCCCGCGCCGCCGCTCCCCCACCCGCCGCCGCCGCGCCACCGCCCCCCTCCCTTCCCCCTCCCTTGGACCACTCTCGCTTGCGACTCGCCACGGCACGGCGCGGGTCCCAGGAGTGAGGCAGTCCTAGGCGGTGCGGTGCGGCCACGAGGCAAGGCAGGCAAGGCAGGCAGCCCCCCGCGGGGCCCCTCCCCGCCCTGCTGCACCCTCGGGAACCCCTTCCCCCGCCCGCCTCACCCCGCCCCCCGCGGGGCCCCTGGAGGCCCTGCGCGCCCTGCGCCAGCACGCCGTCTGGGCGTCGCCGAGGGTGCGGCGAAGGGGGTGGCCACCACGACTAGCCGACATGCGTGGCTGCAAGGCGCTGCAGCGCGGGGCTGCGCTGGGGAAGCCGACGCCAACACCGCCAACGCCGCCGCGGCTGGCCGACGCCATGAGCCCCGTGCGGGCCGGCGGGGCCAGCAGGGACGGCCCAAAGGACGGCCGAACCGCCCGGGCCCGGGCCGGTGTGCTCGTGTGACTCTAACATAGACCTGGTTTGTGTTGTGGGAAAGTGGGTCAGGCAGTCAGCCACCGATCCGAGGTGATCCGATCCGATTCGCCGAGGTGGGCGCCGCACGCGGCACGCCGCACGCCCGGCGTCGCACAGCTGGCCGCCCGACAGCTGCCACAGATGACGCAGCTGCCGCAATCGCGTCAAAAGCCCCCTGACCCGCCGCCGACACCGACGCCGACCTGAGCTTTGAACTTGCGGCCCTCCGCTAGGCCGCCTGGAGTTGCCTGGAGTTGCCTGCAGGAGGACGTCGCGGTGACCTTGGTGGCAAAACGGCCCCCTGGCGCAACGCGTGCTGGACGCAGGGCCGCTGGACGCGCAGGGCCTCCATGGACAAGGGCTGCCACGGGCTGTCGCGCCTCCATGGCCGGGACAGCGCCGGAACGGCCGGTATCCGATAGGGTTGACTGGCAACGCAGCAGCGGTGTCTATGATGGACCGCCGCCACGCCCCGCCACGCCCCGCCACGCCCCGCCAAGGCGCGGTGCCCCCGCAGCCCCCGCTAGGCCCTGCCGGTGCCCGGTTGCCGCTGTTAGCCTATCCGTCGCGTTGGCCGGCTTTGGGCCTCTGCGGCCGCAGCGCCCCAGCCTCGGCAGGCCCAGGTAGATCCAAGCCAGGTACGCCCCTGCCTGCCCCTGCCCCTTTTCCATCGGCCGCCCGGCCGCCCGGCCCGGGCTGGCGGCGCGCCGCTCACTTTCACTTATTACATCGTTCTAATCATTTTCCATTGTATCACAGCTTCGGGTGCGCTCGGCTCCGTTCGGCTGCGTTCGGCTGCGTTCGGGCCCCCCTTCTCTCGCCGTGCCCCCTCTCTCCCTCACTCCACGCGCGCCGCGACGGGGGGGGCGGGGGAGGGGGCGGGTGCCCCCACTACTCCCCTCCACGCCCCGCTGCCCACGTTGCCTCAACTATTACTCAGTTCTATGGGACCCGTGGGGTACTTTTTTCCTTTCGGGCGAGTATTTTTTCGTGGGTATGTGTGTGTGAAGTTAGGCCTTCCCCCCTTCCCCGCGGCCGGGCCCTCCGCCGCCCCTCCCTCGCCGCGCGCCCACCGCGCCCCCACCGCGCCGCAGGACCTGCCGCCCCACCCCGCCCCCCGCGCCGCCCCCCGCGCCGCGGCCCCCACTCCCCCTCCCCCTCGCGCTCCGGCGGGCTGGCCGCGCGGCCGCGCTCAGTAGCTAGTGTACCTCAGCCCACAGCGGCACGTCGGCACGTCGTACGTCGTGCGTCCCGCTGCAGCACGTCGTCTCGCTGCGGCTCGTCGTCTCGTCGCGTCTCGTGTGCCGCGTCGCGTCGCGTCGCGTCGCCGCGGCTGTGTGCGCGGTGCGCTAGTGTCTAGTGTCGTGTCGCCCTGGTGTCAGTGCCGGCGCCGGCCGCGCCACCCCGTGCCACCCTCCGAGCCACTCTGGATTAACTCTCTGGATTAACATGCGACACCCACCGCCGCGACCGGACCCGCGAGTGCACGGCGTGCTCGGAGAGAGCAAGGGATAACAGTGTAGTGCATTGAGTGTGTGCAGTGCGACGCCTCTGGATTACTGTGTGGATTACTCTGGATTACTCTGGATTACTCGCCGTGCCAGTGCAGTGCAGTGCAGTGCGACCCCCCGGCCCGTCCCCCCGGCCGTCCCCGGCGACGCCATGCCCCGCGTCACGGCGCACCCCGTACCTGGCTCTAGGTTCCTCAGTCCAAAGTCCACGACCTGAGCCACTTGACAACCTCCCCAAAGCAGTGCTCACCCCTCCCCGTGTGGAACTATGTTATTAGACATGGAGCACCATAGTGCCCTGCTCTCCCTCAACATGAGCCCGTTCAACCTCAGCCCCGGTGCCGGCGGAGGCGGCACCCAGGGCGGTGGCGGTGGCGGCGGCGGGGGCGGCGGGTCCGGGGTGACCGCCGCGCTCACGCCGTCCAGCCTGGCGCCGCCGTCGCTGTACGGGTCGCCGCCGCTGACCGGCTGGCAGACGCAGCCCCAGCAGCAGCACCAGCAGCAGCAGCAGCACCACCAGCAGCAGCAGCACCACCAGCAGCACCACCAGGGCCACGGCTCCATGCTCATGAGTAACCTGGACGCCTGTCTGTTCCCCGGCGCAGACTACCCGGCCAGCGCCGTGCGGCCCGACCTGCCCGACACCAAGGAGGGCATCGAGGAGCTGTGCCCGGTGTGCGGGGACAAGGTGTCTGGCTACCACTACGGCCTGCTCACTTGCGAGTCGTGCAAGGGCTTCTTCAAGCGCACCGTGCAGAACAAGAAGGTGTACACGTGCGTGGCGGACCGGTCGTGCCACATCGACAAGACGCAGCGGAAGCGCTGCCCGTTCTGCCGCTTCCAGAAGTGCCTCGAGGTCGGCATGAAGCTCGAAGGTAAGTCGAGTCCAGAACCAAACACCAAACGGCCTGGCTGGCCTGGCTGGGCGTGGAGACGGCGGGGAAGGGGAGGGAGGCTTTCGGCGGGGCGGCCAGGGACGCCGAGGGACGCCGAGGGACGCCCAGGACGGCGATAAGGGTGCAGCTATCAGGCAGGCCGGCTCGGCTCGGCTCGGCTCGGCTCGGCTCGAGGTACCACGCGCCTACCGCCTCACATTTCCGTCAATACCCCGCGCGTTGCTAGTCCTTGGTGATCCGCCAAGTTTAAATCGGCCTTTGTGCCCTTTCCACCGCGAGACCCCCGTGGGCCTGGTCAGTATCACGAGGTCTAGAGTGCGCGCGTGTGTGTGTGTGTACTCAGGCCGTGCGCGCCGGCCGGCATAACAGCGCGCAATGCGTGCAACTCATCAGATTTGAGAACTGGGGCACATCTGTGCTCCGCTCGGCCCTGCTGCCCGGCCTGCCCGGTGTACTGTACACACTCAAACACACACACACTCGTACACACACACACACACGTGGACGCATGTACAGTCTGTCTCAGGTCGGAACGAGCCTGGAGACGGTCGCGTCGTTGCAGCGGTAGTGCGGCTACCTGCTATTGAGGGTGGCAGCGGCCTGTGCCGAACCCCCGCTGCGAAGGGTCTGTCCCTTTTCATTTCAGAGGTGTTGCTGCAGTTGCTGAGGAGGCAAGTGAACCTCGCCAGGCTCGTTCCGACCTGAGACAGACTGTAGTCACATGCAGGCACGCACACACACGCCGGGCCACGGGTCGGGTCGGGTCGGTGGTTGTGAGTGGGCTGGTGTGGGCCCGGCCACCACGGCCCGGCCACCACGCCTTGGCCCACGTGGCCCGGGGCTGGTGGGCACCGTGGAGGGCACCGTGGTGGGCACGGCACCGGCCGGCGGGTACCTCGGGGTCCTGGGTGTTTAGTCTCCGGGGCTCACGTCCTTCCTTCTCGTTGTTGTTGTTTTCGCGCCGCGGTCACGCCCCCTTTTTCTTTCCCCGTGTTTGGCGTTTTTAATGTGTTTTGCGGACGCGGACAAGAAAGGGGGAGCGAGCGAGTGCGTTCGAAGGGGCCGTGAGGCGGTACCAACCTCCCAAAAAAAGAGGGGGCCGTTGGAATTGCGACGCCGTGCGAGGGAAGGCCACATGCGCCAAAGAAACTGATCTGGGGGAATGCTTTTTGTTTTTGTCCCGCTGGAAGGACGAAGGACTGGGGTATGTACCCGTGGGAAGAAGCTACCTCGCGCCGTCTCCACGCCACCAGCCCTCCAACGCAGTGTACTTACAGTGTAGTGTTCATCCATGGTGTTGTGTGCTTGTGTACTTGCCTGTGCAGCCGACAGTGTACAGTCGGCCGGGCTGACTCGAGATCGGTCAGTGTGTCTGTGAGAGTGTGTGCGTGTGGGTGATTCCGCGCGAAGAGGGCGTTTTCGTGTCCACACCCTCCCCAGGGCAAATTTATTCGAGTGCAGCCCATTTATGCACTTAAGAATCTTGTTTGGCACCAGACTAGCTTGTTCCCTTTGTATATGGACTTTCAAAGCCAACATGTGACGCGGGAGGGGGGCCAAAAGGGTCGATTTTGTAAGTTCCGTCATGTCCATTCGCACCTTGCACCAACTTTGCGGCTCTGTAACCATTTGTTCCACTCTAATCCTCGAATTTCACACACACCCATCAAATCTCTAACGTATAGTGACTATCTTGCTTGAATTTTAAGATCGTATATTGATTGGAAGTGTCCTTTCAGAACGCGTACAAAATGTCCACCGTACTCCGACTTTTGACTTAGTAGTTTCAAAGTAACCACCATAAAAACTACTAGGAGTGCTCCCTGCTGAAAACCACCGCCGTATTTAGAATCAGCACGGTCTGTTTACCCTATGAACGAATCCCGGTGGCGAAAAAGTAAGGGGGGTGAGTGTGCGAGTGGAAGTTGTGTGCGAAAACGGTGGGTTGTAACAATTGATGTAATTTCCGTATGCCCCTCTCGCCCCTCTCCTATTGGGTTTAGAAAGTCATACTACACGTAAAAAGGCGTGTCTTGACGTCGGACTAGTGTGCCAAACTTATAGCATATTTCTGAGGCGATGGGCATTTGTAGTGAGGTAGAAACATCTGTTTGTAATTTCCATCGAGCGTAATTTCCGTCATATTTTCAGTAAATTTCGTCATATTTTATAGGGGGAGAAAACGAAAGTCAACTTGTAGCTCGCCCACGTTTAGAGTGTCGTCCTGGTGTCCTGTTGACGCCATCTAGGCAAAATTCAGGCCGAACAAGCAAGATTGATTACGTGACTTTCTAAGGTGGCTAAAACGGCCCCTACGTACGGAATCACCCGTGTGTGAGTGCTGGTCGTGCCACACGTGGCCACACGCCCCCGTGCTTGCCCTGCCCGGCCCCGGATTGGGGTTCAACCCGCCCTTGCCGCACGCGCCAAATTTATGAGCAACGCCCTGTGGATTACCGCGTTCGCTAAAGGTAGGTGGCGCGGCGGGAAGGAGGGCCGGACCCCAACTCGGGCCTCAGCGCGCTCAGCGCCGTGGCCACCGCGCCACTGGGCCACCACGCCACTGGGCCAGGGCATGCCGGGGCGCTGGCTCGAAGCTCCGCTTGGAGCGCTTCGAGCCGGATATCCAATGCCGCGGTCCCTGTTTCCGCAGGGCCTGGCCGTGTTGGGGCGTCACGTTACGATATTTCCGTGCCCATTTAGCGCGCCCCGAACGGCGAGAGACTCAAGTTTAAAGTTCCATTCGTACTAATAAACAGTGTGATAGTATTTTCAAAGTGTGCGTGAGACTCTGCAAGTCCCGCTCAGATGCTAAGATACGGCATCCATAAACAGAAATATCGTAACGTTTCGACGCTCCTGTGTGTGAGTGAGTGTGTGTGTGAGTGTGCGTGTCTTGACCGTCCACTCGAGTCTCGCGGGGGAAGTCCGAGCGCCCGGATGCGAGTCGAGAGATTTAGAGACACTGTGAATCTCTCTCGAATGGGGGCGACGGTTCCGTCAGTGCCAGCCCCCAGTAATACAGTGCAGGGCGCACGGGGCGCACGGGCCCACACAGTGCCCACACAGTGCCCACACCCCCGGCGCCTCGCGTCGCCTCGCGTGCCCGCCGAGGCGGGGGCCCAGAAGGGGTAGTTCTGCGGCGTAGTTGGCCTGGCCGGCCGGGCTGGGATGGGGATGGGGTGGGCGGCGGAGGCGCACTTGGGCGCAGGCTTGACGCAGGCGAGGCGAAGGCTTGGCGCAGGCGTGGCGCAGGCTCGCGGGTTGTTTACGCGGCCAGGCTGCTCCCTGCTCCACTCCATGGCGCCGGCCTCGGATGCACCAGGCTGCGGCTGTTCTCGCTGGGGCCTAGCTTGTGCCGGTGCGTGAGTCGCAGTCGTCACCGCGCTCTGCGCGGCGAGCAGGGCTGCCCTCGACCGAGACGACGACGTCGCCCTGCTCACTGACGTCGCCGTCGTCGCCCCTCATGACCATGACGGGCAGGTGGCAGCACTGTCGCGTCGCCGCGGACTGCTTGCCGTACCCGTCATCATGACGGCTCCCAGTTATTGTTGGTGTTGTGTTGGCACTGCGCGCCACGCCACGCGCTCGCCGGCCGCTCCAGACCGTTCCAGCGTTTGGCGGACGGGGAACTCCAGCAACTCTGCCAACTCCGCCAACTCTCGCACTCCACGCGCTGCGCCGCGCCGCGCCGAGCGTGCCGCCTTGCCGCGTCCGGCTTATCCGTCGCGAGTGGGCGTCGCATCGCGCCGAGCGCAAGCCGGGGGGCAGGCCGGGGGGCAGGCCCGGGGGCAGGCCGGGGGGCAGGACGGGGGGCAGGACGGGGGGCAGGCCGGGGGGGGCCGCCTCGCCGCCTGCGAGTGTCGCGGAGTAGTTCTCAATCAAGTTCGCCAAGTCATTACATTCTCCATGTGTGTGTGCGAGCGCGGCGCCACATGCGCTGATTGTTATATCGCTGTCTGGCGCCGGAGTGGCGGGGCGTGGCGGGGCGTGGCAGGGCGGCGTCGCGGCGGGGCGTCGCTGCGGGCCGCGGCCGCGCGTCTTTGGAGAATTCGGCACATGTCAAGGTCGCTGCTGCCGGGGCAGAGTGTTTGGACAGGTGGCGCCGCCGCCACGCCGCCGGTCCGGTGCCAGTGTGCCGGTCCGCGGACTCGTTCCAACACGACGTGACAATGGGCAGGGCGGGGAGCGCGTGGAGCTGACCGACCGGCGCCCAGCAAGCCCGCGGCACGCCGACAGGACGGGCCTGGCCTGACAGGCCGCAGCTCCCCGACGGAGCCCCTCGCGTCGCCGCGCGCCGCCACCGCCCTTCGCTGGGCCTGCGTCGCCGCCCCTTCGCCGGCCCTTCTCCCTTCACCACCCCCTCGCCCCGCCGCCCCGCCTCACCAGATCGCGCCTCTTTGTGTGCTTCCGGACCCACCGGCCCTTCGGTCCTTCGGTCCTTCGTCCTGCAGGGGCGCCGCGGGGAAGGGCGGCACCAGGAGGGCGACGCGTGGCACAGTACAGTGTACAGGCTGATTCTCGACCCGTCTCTCTCGCGCTCGCGACAGCCCTGAGTGCGAGAGAGACAGCGAGGAAGACGCCGGTCGGAATCAGCCTATGCAGCGCCACTGCCATATCGCACCAGTGTGGAAAAGGGCTGCGTTCTGCGTGCGACTGTCTTGACCGCTCCGCGTCGAGCGTGTGTGAGTGTGTCTGTCGGCCTGTGTGTGCAATCGGCGCGTCTGTGTGTGTGCGCGGCCAAGTACACAAAGTTATCGCCGAATCCCACGGACTGTGTTACTGTGTTGGGCGAGGCAGCCAGAGGCGGCCTGAGGCGGCCTGGCTGTACTAGTATGGGACTGTGTTGCACAGCGTAAGCGGGACTCGCGTGTCAATTCGCGTTGCGGACGGCGACGCGCGGCTCTGTGTGTGTGGGTCCGTCTGTCTGCCTGTCTGTGTGTGCGCGCGCGCAACTGGCTGGCAGGGCTGGTTTGTAG